TCACACGATTACTTAAGACTACTCAAGATTATCAGTGACTAGTGGCAATTTGTAGAGACTGTCGTAAAATTGTCGCACTTTTGAGCGACGATCGTGCGACAGCCTATATAAGATCAGACCTTATAAGATCACTAACAACCTGTTCGATCGCAGAGAGCTCAAAAACCTCTCTACGACTGAGGCGTACTGCTTTTAGTTCGCGAAATACATTTTTGCTAAATTTTATAATAAATCAAAGTAGTTGAAGCTACAAATGTTTGCGCATGCAACTTTTTTTCACGGACACAAACCTTCGCGGGAATGTATCCGCCGCGAAAAACGCTAACTTAAAAAGTTTGAAATAATTTCTAGGAATACAGGCCCAGTGTTCACAAAAATTTAAGGATCAATATCAGGATTGAATTAAAAAAACTGTAATATTCTTCATTGTTTATCCTCATACATTTAATATCTAATATTAATTTGATAAAACTGGACTTGCCATACAGCAAGTTAATGAAATTTTAGAATAAATTTATTGTTAGTTTTGCAAAATACGGGCATTTTACACTTGATCCAACTATCGAGCCTGATCCTAAAATTGATCCTGATCTTGATCCGAATATTTTTGTATGTGTTTTGTTATTTGATACGGAATTCCATAAACGACAGCCTACTGCTTACTGCCTACTGCTAACTGGACAGCCTGCTGCTCACTGCCTACTGCTTACTTCTAATTGACAGTCTAAGCATATGTATGGATCGATTACGAAGTATTCCGAATGTTCACGCGCCATTTTGTTGAAAACATATGAGGTAAATTTTACGGAAAACAATGGTATGTAAATTAAAAAGGATTCTTTAATAATTAAGCCTAATATTTCGTAATTTCTATTTCATTTCAATGACATGTGTAGTCCCACCATTGCACACTGAATGATTATGTTATGAAATGATTCCACGTGCCTCATTGCACAAGTGATTGATAAATTGTCAAATAAAGGACTCATTTTAGGGTAATCTAAGGTAATTAATAAATTATTCAGAAAGAATATGTGTTCAACATTTGATGTTGAAGGGTTTGAGCCCACTATACCTTGTTGAGAGGCGGACATCTGGACCATTATGTCAACACCTCCTGATTTTTGTTTATATTTTCATAGTTTACTAAACTTTCATTTGACAATGTAATACATTTCTAGAAGAAGATTTGAAATATACTGGTGAAATCACTGGCGTATTTAAGGCTAAATATTCTTGTCTGTCATTTTCAAAAATGTGTGAGTTCATTTTCATTGGCTGTCAGTTGTAGCGCATGAATGTGTAATACTTATTAGATGGAATGTAGTACATTTTGTTAAGTTTATTGTACACTTGATATTTTATGTTGCAAAGATATGCGCTTTGAAGGTTAATTTTAGAACCAATTTATTTCAGTACAGCGGATGATCAATCTGACAGAAACATTTCTAAGGAAGAACGGCATATAGTAATACTTCCATCGTACTCCAAGTTTGACTTCATAAACAAGTTATAGAACCAACACACCTGTGAATTACAATGGAAGATGAAGAGGACTACATAAATGTATTGGTTCTTATGGACGAGACTAATTCGGCTTCTCAAAGCATACACAAAGACAAACCTGGCAATTACAAACAACAACAAATATTTTATTGCATTAAAACAACATGTTCCATAGCAAAAATTACAATTTTTAATACAAAGACATGGTTTACAGAAGAGGTCAATGCATGTATAATATATGTATTTGCATTAAAGATGACTAGTTATTTCGCAAGTTTGCATAGTATATATTTTGCTGAATTATAAATCATTGATTTTGATTTTGCACATATGAGGTTTTCTGTTTAGTTGGACACGTATAATAATATGTCTTTATATATTTTGATCTTAAGTCCTGAAATTTAGACCATATTAATACAAAATGACCGACATTACAATTTCTACACAAGCTTTCATTTCTTGGTACATTTGTATATTTCTATGCCGTCCACGTTCAATAGCCAAATCATGAGAAGATAAAGAAAATTTGGATAATGATACCCTAAATTTCGGTTCAACGATAAAATCCATTCAATTCAATATGTTATTTGGCATTTAACTACATATAGCTAATAGAGGTATTAAAGTGTAAGATATTTTTACAATAAATTGTTCATAATACAGTACAAAATGTTTTCAGAGAAGTTATTAACAATATATCTTCATGAGATTTAGCAATTAACATTGAGATATACCGAGTATACTTAATGTTGAAATAAATTGTTATTATTGTCTTTATATATGTATACAAATACAATCATGCAGATATGTTATTTACGGTATGTCTTTATGTAGATCTAAAAATATACAAGTTAATCAGAGTGTCTTACTTTAAGTGAAAATTATAAATATTTTGACAAATTATTAAGTTCTTTTTCACTTTAAGATGACATTAAAGTTCCAATTTTGTAGTGTAGGCCAACTGCAAAAATATGGTTTTAAAAATTTCTTACGAAGGTTATAATATTTTGGACAAACGAGTAAAAAATGGAATTCATTTTCGATGACATGCATATTGCATTGTTGACATAGTCTATTTTCTCTTGGAACTCCGTTGTGCCTACCAATTTCAATTTCTAGATTATGTGATGATTACCGAAATTGCGTCAGTTGTACTCTGTATTTATTTATATTTACACAATTAAGTATTTTTCAAATTCGAGGTCGTAATTATATACATACTGTATGTTTGTAATCTACTTGAATTATATATTTCTGAATATATAATATAATATTCTATTCTTTATTATTTGAAATGATGTATTAATTTTGTTTAGTTTTAGCCATAGAAAAGAAAAACCCATTTCGTAAAGTATTGTTTTTGTGACGATTGTTCTATTCTGCCTAGATTCTATGATTTAGTGGTTTTGTACCTAAATTGTCGGTGAATTAAATTATAAACAAATATGTTATCTTGGGTTTAAAATTATAGTTTGATCTTTTATAAATGAGTAAAAAATACATAAAAATTAAATGAATAGATTAAACAACTTTCTCGTAGCAATTATTTGATATAACGGGCATATTTTTGTTATTTCTAAAATATCAAGAACAATTCGTCCTTAAAATCATTCAAACTCAATGCCATTAGTACTAATATTCGACCCATTATCAATATCTGTTAGATGCTTGATTTCTTCAACTTCAGTAAACGATCATTAAATATAACTACATGATTGGATATAAATAGAGCTCAATGCTGCGGACAATCAGTCTCTGTCCAGCTGCCGAAGTGTCAACACTACAGCAACACTATTGCTCGCCCATATGGTCTCTTTCCGGTGGCGAGGGTAAACAAACGCAAACACACATAAATCAACACTACAGAAATAATTAATTAATATTTGAGTTTAATTACTTGGGTTCTTGCACTATTTACGAAGTATTTCAATTGCATCAATTTAACATTGCTTTAGGTGTAATTGTTATTACTAAAGTATTGAAAACTCGATATCCAAGTGGTTTTTCTATATATATTAAGTAGCCTAAAAAGTGTCACCCCAATTTTATATCAAGTTCAAGGACCACTTATTATCTTTCAAGCACATTACTGTTATAACATTAGTTAATTAAACTTGATTCCAAAGTTTAAACAAATTATTGCATAATCATTTGTAACTAATCAACTGGTAAAGTAGCCACAAGAAAAATTATATATATAACAGCTAGCCCGTGCACGTTACAAAATTGGCGCCCAACGGGGGACAATTCTAGCTAACGATAGGCTTACTTACCCTAGACTTTTAAGAACATGGCTGAGTATAGAAGTAAATGGTCCGATGAAGACTTTTGTTATATGTATGATGAAATGGAAAATCTTAGGAATGAGAATCGTAGGCTGAAACTCCAGAGAAAGATTGATAGTCTTCAAAGACAAATTGACCAGACAAGTATTGAGCTGACTACATCAACACCTGTCATGGTAAAAACAGAGAATACTTATGAAGGTTTTACACCAAGTAGAAAGACTACCTCAAAGCCTAGACGTATTTTGCCTTCATTGCCTGTTCAAAGTGAAAAACATGAGAGGGATGTGAAAGACCAATGATCACCCAAAGACGGAGGATTGTTGACTTGCTACCCCCTGAAACTCCAAAAGAACAACAGAAATTGGATAACAATCAAACTTCAGACAAAAGTTTTGATTACAAAGTAAATGATTCAAGGTCTACTTTCATGAAACCTGCAACTCATGACGGAACTTGTGAATGGACAAACTATAAAGCACACTTTGACGCTTGTGCAACTTTGAATGGTTGGAATGAAAATGAGAAAGGTTTATACTTATCTGTATCCTTACGAGGCCAAGCTCAAGGAGTGTTCGGAAATTTGACATCAAAGACACACAATTATGAGGAACTTGTGAGAGCACTCGAAGATAGATTTTCACCAAGAAATCAGACTGAGTTATATAGAGTTCAGTTGAGAGATAGACATCAAAAAGCTACTGAATCAATGGCTGAACTTGGACAAGATGTTCGTCGTCTTGCAAACTTGCCGTACCCGCATGCTCCTATAGATGTTCGTGACACTTTAGCTAAAGAACAATTCATAGATGCACTTGTAAATTCAGACATGCGTCTCAAGATAAAACAAGCTAGACCCATTGATTTGAATGATGCAGTAAGGCATGCTGTACCTCAGAAAATCTTTGGCTTAAACTTAAGAGCAATAACAAAATTATACCTTTTAAACTTTCTGTATCATCAACAAGTGGTGATCTATTAAAAATCAAGGGACAAATAGAGATAGACCTGAGGTTTAAAAGACACCTTTATAAGACCAAGGTTGTAGTAGCTGAAATCGGAAATGATGTTGTTTTAGGTCTTGATTTATGCAACAGTATGGTGTTTGTAATGATGTTATTAGAAATACAATGAAATTGATAGGGCATATTGTTAATTTATATTGTACCGGTAAAATAGGGTGCTTTGGCATTGATCTATTCGATGAAGTTAATGTAAAATCAGTTTCCAATCAATATCTACTATATATGGCACTTTGTCAGGCAGGTGAAGTTGGGACAGCATTGTCCTAGGATACATTTCTAGTTAACTAAGAAAATTCATATATATATATTATCTCGTGAACACGACATAGTAAGTGGTGGCCATGACATAGAATCTCGTGCGCACCACCTAATTATTTCGTTCCCACGTCTCTTTATTATCTCGTGTGCACGACTTTCTAATTCTTGGCACAACATAGTATCTCGTGCACACGAGATAAATAAAACACACGCATGTAACCTCTGTGCCACCGTATCTAACAGACAATTTTATACTAGAAGATTTAAATGTATTTTTTATTTATCAGTCCACAGGTGATTAGTCAATGTAAAATAAGCATACCCCATGATAATTTTCAACCAAGCGTACTGATTCATTTAGATACATTTTGTAAATGCTACATTCCGAGATATAGAAAGTCATGGCAATTAATTGGCATGCTAAATTCCTTAATAGGCTTCAATTGTGTTTTCATATATACATATATATGTAATTAGACTTACTCATAGGACACAGCCACATAGTCATTTGAAGTTGTTTTGTCGAGTTCAAAGCCTTCAAGAAAAATGTTTCAGAAGTCAAAGAATGAAATTATAGATATGAAATACTTCTTTCCTTCGTCTGAAGGAGAATTTCGAAATGTTATTCTGATCTTCGATGTTTTATATAACAATTTTTCACATATCAGCTCTATAGTAATGTTTTAACATGCCATGATTAAGGAAATGTAAAAATGATATTCTATTCTGTTGACCAAACGTAAGAAAAGCTACCGGTATTATATTATGCATAGTCACAATCTATTATCATTATTATATTATATTTTTTAAATAACATTTCTTTTATTTGTATTTTTTCATTTTGCAGAATAAATTAAGATATTTATTTTACAGAAGAGGGAGAGAAAATATTTTAATGAGGAAGAAGTAAGGGTGTTGGAGGAGGCTTGGGGAGATGGCATGACTTCCACAAAGAAGTCATGTAAAGAAAGAATTATACAAGTTGCCAGACAGCTCAGCACTACCCCAGAAAGAATAGAGGTGACAAAAATAAATTTATGCATATTAAAATCCACCATAGTCTAATTGCTTCTGTTGTAAAGTTTAGTGTAAAGTGAAACTTTATATATTAAGCAGAAGTCGCTAGATCTGCCCCCCCCCCCTTCTACCAAGTCGTTGTAATTGAAAGTAGATGTCACATCATCCTGATTACACACAACCCACAACCGTCCTGACCTTCTCTGCCCTGTATAGACCCCTTATTACCTGAAGTGACCATATTTTAAGCGACTTTTGACTTTAGCGACCACTTTAAATCCCCATGATAATTTTCCGACAAATTCTTTCATTTGTTATGTAACTTTTCCTCAATTTGTCATCTAATTGTATTGTGGCCAATCTTTATGTCGAGCAACCACTTTTATCTGTCAATCTTTTTATGAATGTCAGCAATCAAACAACACTATGCATGTATGGAAAGAAAACTTAATTCCCAAACCGCTAGCGTATGCGATTAAACAAATGTATGCTCGTGATATGTATTATCAAATGAAAAAAAAACTAAAAAACCCAGGCCTTATAATTCTGGAAAAATATCAAACATGTAGGTAATGGCTCAAAACCATTTTATCCCAAAAAAATTAATTTCAGCATATCATTTTATATGTATATAAATTAAACCTTCCACATAAATGACTATCTTTGCATTTGATTATGAAGCAAACGTTAAGCTAGTTACAAACGCAGGTGGGGGGTGCAGCTTCTTTAAAGTTTATTTTAAAATGTTCTTTCTTGTAGGTTTGGATAGGTAACAAAAGGGCGAACGTAAAAAGGTTGGAAGGGGCAACAAGCAAACCGTCAGAAGGCAAGAAGTACAATTGTGGGCCTAATGCTTATTCTCTGTTGTTAAGTTCTGAAGAAAGAGGTAATTAAGAGAGTTTTTATGGTTTAAGATTGATGTATATATGTACACATTGTATAAATTAAAAAGCCCTTTACGGCCTTAAAGTAGACAACATGCTCAAAATGAGCTACGTGATCACTCACTGTCTGCCTTCCGTCTGTTTGTATAAGAGCATTTAGTTAAGTAAGGGGTTAATGTCCATGTACAAGTTATTATTATGGGGATTTTTTTAATTTTAACTAAAGGATAACAAAAATGTTTTAATTTGGAAAACTTCAAGGGTTATATGTACAATTAAGTGGACCTGAAGGATTGTAATTTTTCTTTCATATATAAAAATTACCATAGATGTATGGTGTGACACGAACAAGACTCGGGTTCCTACAACTAAGATCAAGGTCAATGTGGGGGGTTCAAACTTTGTCATTCTTTATGTTATATAAATATAAAAGGTGGTGGTCGTGTCCGCTTTGAAACTTCAGTATACATGGAAGGATTTTGATTTTTCTTTCATATATGAAATAACCATAGATGTATGGTGTGTTGTGTGGCGAACAAGACTCGGGTTTCTACCACTAAGGTCAACTCTAGGCGTTCTAACTTTGTAATTTTTGTGTTATATAAATATAGATCGTGGTGGTTGTGTCCGCTCAGAAACTTCAGTATGCATGAAAGGCTTTTATTTTTTCTTTCACATAAGAAATAACCATAGTTGTATGGTGTGTCGCGAAAAAAGACCCGGATTTCTTTGACTAAAATTAAGGTCACTCTTGGGATTCAAACTTTGTCATTTTAAATTTTTATGTTATATATGGTAATGTCGGCTCAGAAACTTTGGTATGCATGAATTTAATTTTTCTTTCATATATGAAACAACCATAGGTGGATGTATGTCGTGAACAAGACTCAGGGTTTCTATGACTTAGGTCAAGGCCACTGTGAGGTTCAAACTTTGTCAATTTTGATGTAAATATAAATATAGGCAGAGATGGTCGTGTCTTCTCTGAAATTAATATGCATGATTTTATTTCACATAGGAAATTATCATGAATGTATGATGTGTTGCCCTTAAGACCCGTGTTCCTATGCCTTAGTTCAATGTCACTGTTGGGGTTAAAACATTTTCAATATTTATGTTATATACATATAAATGGTGGTTGATGTGTCCGCTCTGTAACTTCCATACACATGAAAGTTTCAATTTTTATTTAAAAATATAAAATCACTTTAGATGGACATTGTGCTGTAAACAAGACCCATGTTTCTTTGTCTAAATTAAAGGTCACTGCTAGGGTTTTTTACCACCAAACTTAACATGTAATGGGTGGTTTATAACTAGAATCCATCGGGGGCATTTGTCACATTCTGTGACAGCTCTTGTTCATACATGTGTTATGCAAGAATCACTGGCCGGGACTTTGTCTAAAGGCCATAAACTCTACAAGAGAAATGTTGCTTTTATTTTGAGTATTGCCTTTGTATCTAAACCATATTGTTTTTCATTTGAAATGCTGAAAAATGACCTTAACAAACTGTGTCACGAGACACTGCTGCATTGTATAGAAACAAAACACTACATTTGTTTCTACTAAATATATATTAAGTGCATGTCGTATTTATGCAGTGGAATATTGCATTTTTTCACAAATGCAATCTTGTTCTTATTTGTATATTATATTTAAAAAATTAAGATTTAAAGAAAGTTTTTTTTTACAATGTTCTGATCAGTGATCTCAGACATTTATTAGAAAATGAAAATCATGAATCAAACTTAATTTATCCTGTAAAAGTTTCATGTTTCCGTTTTCCGGTAGAATTGTTACTCTTTTTCTGTGAAAACAAATGTGTAAAACCAATACCCTGTCAAATCTGTTTCAGGCTCACAAGACCCTAAATTATTTTTTAAATCCTCTGCGGAAAAATGGAAAGGTCTTTCTTCACAAGAGAAAGCGAAGTTCACTGAAAGATCGGCTACGATGAGAGAGTGTCCACTTTTATATATGGACCGCGAAAAAGTCATTAAGCAAAAGCTTCAAGTGATTTCTGAAGCAGTAATTATATTTTTTCACCTTTAGTCATGTTTACATTTTTTTTTATAATTTTAATAATCATTTTGATATGAGATGTATTTTGCCTTTGATCAATATTACCAGAGATGTTTTGAAAGAGCTTGGAAAATATCAATACAGTAATAAGTAGTCTGAGTATGATTGTAATCTGGATATAATACTGGTTCATTGCACAGGCTCCGGTGAATCTTTTTTGCCAATGCATCTAACCAGAGTTCTTTTAAAATTTTCAACTTGTTTAATCTTCAACAAAATATATCATCAGACAATCATGACAGTAAGTAATTAAGCGCATTTTATTGTAATTGTTTCTTTGCTGATAGTAAATAAACAAAGCTGAATCGCAACTTTTGAATTTCCATAGAATAAAAATACACGCATTAAGTATCTTTACATACAGACCAAAAGAGCACACACATGTATACCCATTAACATTACTCATTTATTTTAATAGGCACATGATTTACAGAAAGTTGGCTACAGTTTTGGCGGCCTTGGGCTTGATTTAAGTGGTGGCCCAATTTCTATTGCTGGCAGTGATAAGGCACTGAACTTCTTCAAGTGCAATAAGCTTGAAAAACAGTACAGGGCATATCTTAATTTGACAGGTAACATATATTCATAAATAGTTTTAGAATTATCTGATGCCAAAAACTGCATTCTTTTTATTTCTTGTGCATGAAAATTCAAGGTCATATGCATATGAATTTATTAATCATTCATTGATAGATATTTCTCTTATTTTTCAAGCAGTTTTGGGTTTATCAAAAATGCCAAAATATGGACTTGACCAGTGTAAAAAATGGTTTCAAATCCGCCGATTACATCTGAATATTCATGTAAGGTTTCATAATTTGAATTATAATATTTCTTATTGTATCACTGGACATAAGTAAAAATATATTTTTAAAGGTACTTAATAAAAAGTGGAATGTATTTCAGATAGTACCAGTGCAAGCACTCCTAAACCAAACAAGGAAGCTGAGCTGGTGGAATTGAGGCACAAAGTTCGCCAGAAATTTAATGAATGCTTACCCCGTACTGCTTACCTGGCTAACGTATCATCTGTCTGCATAAATGATAAGACCGCCCATTAACGATGATTGACACTTCTATATCGCGTGTCTGTGATATGTCAAGGGTCATATCTAGTCAATATACTAGAGACTTAAACACATGTATTCATTCAAAAGTTTTCAAAATAGTAAGAGGTAAGGATATTACATTCTGTTCATTTTATTTCAATATGTATGTATTGATGTATTGTCTGATAAAGCTTAGGGTGACTGAGACAGCTAAATTTATGAGGCATGCACTTTATCAACATCAATCAATTTAATGACATGATTAACTAGGTTTAATGCTGCCATGCTAATTAAATAAACATTTTTAAAGATACACTATGCACAAATTTGATGTTAGAAAGTATTGGTAATTGCTACACAGCATCTTTACAAATATAAAACAACAAGAGCTGTCACAGGAGACAGCGAAGCTCCACTTATTAAATACTGGACCAGTAAGGAAGACAAAACTATGAAAAAAATCAGTTATTCAATTATGTATATTTATATATTAAGTTCAAGTAAAAAATTTGTCGTCCAAGTTCAAGGAAATAGTCATGCTAGAGTTATGAACCTTGTCACACAATATGTGTGTAATGATAAGAAATGTATATATAAAGTTTGAAGTAAATACCTTAACAAGAACTGTCTGAGGACAGTAAGGCTCGACTTTTCCAAAAAGTTGTCACAAGAGTGTTTTATTGAGTATATTAAATAATGCTTACCTATGAATACATAAAATGTACCGAAAAGGTACAAAGGCTTGATATTAAGATGTTTTATCGAGTAAATCACTGCTTTATTATTATGAATGCATATAAATGTCCCCCAAAAAGGCACAAACCCTAAAGTAGTTATGGAGATAACAGCTTACAAGCAAAACTTTACCATGAATTTCTAAGTTGAAAAAGGGGAGAAAAATCAGCCTAAATGCAAGATAGAATTATATGGATCTTGGTCAGTGACCTACAATTATGATTCTAAATGCATATGTGAAGTTTTAAATAAATATCTTTAATAGTTATTGAGATATGTAAAACTTGCATGTAAACATTAACCAAGAGACTAAGTAGAAAAGGGGAGATAAATCAGCCTAAATGCAAGATAGAATTATGGAACTTGGTAATTGACATACAATTATGACTCTTCATGCATATGAGAAGTTTAAAATCAAAATCTCTGATAGTTATTGAGATATTTGACTGAAAAACGAACTTTAACCAAAATTTCTAAGTTAAAAGGGGCATAATTCTGTAAATATTGTAGGCAGATTTATCCAACTTGTCAATCTGATGTATATTGTTACTGTTAATAAGTACTGTAAGTTTCAATTGAATATCTCAAGCAATAATTGAGATATTTGACTTTACAAAAAATTTAACCAAAATTTTTAAGTTAAAAAGGGGTGTAATTCTGTAAATATTGTAGGCAGAGTTATCCAACTTGTCAATCATATGTACATTATTACTATAAATAAGTCTTGTAAGTTTCAATTGAATATCTCAAGCAATTATTGAGATATTTGACTTTACAAAAACTTTAACCAAAATTTCTAAGTTAAAAAGGGGCATAATTCTGTAAATATTGTAGGCAGAGTTATCCAACTTGTCAATCTGATGAACATGGTTACTATAAATAAGTATTGTAAGTTTCAATTGAATATCTCAAGCAATAATTGATATATTTGACTTCTTAAAAACTTTAACCAATGCAGTTGCAGACGCCGAAGCCGTGGGACTACAATAGCTCTCATATTCTTCTAAAAGTCAAGCTAAAAAGTAAAGAAGTTAAACTATTTCTTAAAGAAAATCTTAAATTCAAAAAGAGATTAATTTGAAAATATTGCTTCGAGAGTTATGAACCTTGTCACAAAAGATATAATTGATGATAAGAAATAAGTATTTGAAGTTTGAGGTAGATACCTTGAAAAGTAAAGAAGTTATAGAAAAAATAACATTTTTCAAGTAAAAAAATCAAAGTTTAAGAGGAGATAATTCTTGCAATATTGGTGATAGAAAAATAATATTTTTAAAGGAAAATTCTAAGTTCAAGGGAAGATAAATCTGAAGATATTAGTGCTAGAGTTATGAACCTTGTCACATATGGTTGATGATATGGAACATATATTTGAAGTTTGAAGTTGATCCCATAGGAAATAAAGAAGTAACAGCAAAAAGTAGTAATTTTTTAGGAAAAGATAAATCTGAAAGTATTGGTGTTCAAGGTGAGATAAAACTGAAAATATTGGTGCTAGAGTTAAGAACCTTATCACATATGGTTGATGACAAGGAACATATATTTTAGGTTTGAAGTTGATCCCTTAAAAAATAAAGAAGTAACAGTAAACAAGAGGGCCATGATGGCCCTGAAGTCGCTCACCTGTATATAGGCCCCTGGAACGGGGCCAGTTTAAACCCCAGGGCTTTTATTTGAACAAACTTGGTAGACACCCATTTGAAGATGTTTCATGCTAAACATCTAAGGTCTAGCTCCTTGGGTTTTTTAAAAGAAGATTTTTTCAAGTTTTTTCTTTACACATATAGTTAAAAACAATGACACACCTGGGGCAGGGCCAGTTTTGACCCAAGGGCTTTTATTTGAAAAATCTTTGTAGACACATACTATAAATTGTCTCATGCTTAATATCTAAACTCTAGCTATTCGGGTTTTTTCAAAGAAGATTTTTAAGTTTTTGCTATACACATATAAGGAAAATCAATGTCCCCTGGGGCCGGCTAATTTTGACCCCAGGGCTTTTATTTGAACAAACTTTGTAGACACTCACTAGAAGGTGTTTTGTGCTTAATATCTAAACTCTAGCTATTTGAGTTTTTTCAAAGAAGATTTTTTAAGTTTTTACTGTACACATATAAGGAAAATGAATGACCCCCGGGGCGGGCCAATTTTGACCCCAGGGCTCTCATTTGAACAAACTTGGTAGAAATCCATTAGAACATGTTTCATGCTAAATATCTTAGCTCTAGCTCTTGGGGTTCTTTAAAAGAAGATTTTTTAAGTTTTTACTATATGCATATAGGGAAATCAAAGACCCCCTGGGGCGGGGCCAATTTTGACCCCAGGGCTTTTATTTGAACAAACTTGGTAAACACCCATTAGAACATGTTTCATGATAAATATCTTAGCTCTAGCTCTTTGGGTTCTTTAAAAGGAGATTTTTTAAGTTTTTAATGTATGCATATAGGGAAAATCAATGACCCCCTGGGGCGGAGCTAATTTTGACCCCAGGGCTTTTATTTGAACAAACATGCCAAATATCTTAGCTCTAGCTTTTTGGGTTTTATAGAAGAAGATATTTTAAGTTTTTTCTTTTGGTTGCCATGGCAACCAGAGTTCTGCATGGAATTTAATTGTTTGAACAATTTTCAAAGGTGACCACCAAAGAAACATACCTGTGAAGTTTGGGTGAAATGGGCTTAGTGGTTTATGAGGAGATGTCATTTAAAGTAAAAGTTTATGGATGACGGCCGGACGGACACCGACAAAAGCTCACCCTGTCACTTTGTGACAGGTGAGCTAAAAATAGTGTTTAAAATTTCTTAGTTCAAGGCAAGATAAATCTGAAAATATTGGTGCTAGTGTTAAGGAAACTTGTCACATAAGATGTGGTGGATGATAAGGAACATATGATATATTCGAAGTTTGAAGTTGATATCTTCAGAAATGAAAAAGTTATAGTGGAAAATATTTTACTGCACTTTAATCTGAAATCTGGATGCAGACACCGGCGGCGGGGCAAGTAGGACAGCTCTCCATATACTTTGTATAGTCAAGCTAAAAATGTTTTGACTTAATTCGAAGTAGATATGGTATGAATAAAACTCTACACACTATACAGGTGGTCACAATATGAATATATTTAGAGTCATTAAAAAACAGGTTTTTTTTATAGATTGTAATAAAACTTAGTATATAGCAATTTTATATAAAGACCTAGCTTGGGATTGCTTTTTTTTCAGACCACAATTTTTCAAAAGTCAAAGTTGCTTGTGAGGGTGATAATGACCTTAAGTAATAGCTATTGTTCATCCTTAGATTCAAATTACACATATTCAGGAAGAATGTTATAGACTTCCATGATTAAGATATTTCACTCAAGGATTATATTTACAGGGCAATTAGTATATCTTTAAATTGTCTCGGAAATAAGTCCAGAAATTATGATGTGTATGCTTAAAATGCTTAGTTATGAAAGTTTTTAAATCTCTTTTTTGATGATCACGTTTAAGGTGCCTTCTTTATTAAATGAACAACTAACGACATGTACCCTATGAAATGAACATATATCTTATTTGCACAAAGTGGTAATAAAAAGAGAGCTTTTAAAATTAATAATAGCATGTTGTACATCATTAATTGCCAGTAATCATCTTTGTACAATTATCTAATTCACTACTGTTTTAAATTAATTTCATAGGGTTGGTCTCTACAGTAACAAAGACATGTAATTAAGAAAGGTTGAAAATCTTTAAGTCTTGTTGTTTGATTTCTCTTAACTTTCACTCCAAAGATTCTCCTGAGCCAGATAAGCCATCACCATCTTCCTGTTTTAGTTTATTTACAAAATTCTCTTTTGAGTTAGACAAGGAACATGATGAGTTGTAAAACAATGCCTTTCTTTGTAAATATTATAGAAAAAGCCACAGGATCAGCAAAAATTCCTTATTCCAACATAAAGGCAAGGCAGGTGAATGTTGTTTTGGTGGGCTGTCCTTCAGTGCCTTTTAAAGAGCCTAGTTGTTATGGGAAGTGTAGCCTCAGGACAGTATTGTCAAATTTGAAATCATTTGACATCCAGTAAGTTCAATTCTGTTACATTTAATTAAAAACTTGAAAATGGTTTAATAGAACTGATCCATGCATGTTTTGTCTGCTTTATAATTGAAGCCTTGTAGAATGTTAATTTTTTTTAACTTATACACTTAACATAAACCATATAACATCTTTCATTATTTTTTCTGCACCATTACATGTATATAACGAATGTTTGTACTAATTTCAATCTAATAAAGCAATCAATATTACTTAAAAATTGTATTCATACATTAATTTCAGGGAGCATCAGCAATCTAGTGCTGTCAGTAAAGTTGATGTAAAGATGCCATCAGATACAAGTCCAAATAAAGGTAAAAAGGGAATATTTTCATAAATATATATGCAATTATGATATAAAAAAAAATCGGCACTAAACAGAGAACTGCATGTACATGTAGTTCCTCTGTATATTACCAGTACTACAAATGTTATCTCAGTTAACATTATTCTAAAAGGTACTTAAAGAAAAGAAAAAACAACACTTTTACTAAGATGCTAACATACGTAAGTTTTCTCAGAATATATAATATACATGTTACATTTTACAACATGCACAGAGCAATTCAAATATTCTTAAATAAGGATAAGAATGAAAGACAACATGTCTAATATTAAATTCTTTTCGTAACTTTTCCTTATCATACTTTCATGCTAATAATATAAACTAGAATCAGTGATGAAAATTAGGCATCCCCGTTAAAGGTATATGCATCCTATAGTTTTTTAAATAAACATAAACTGAAATATAATAGTCGTATAAAGTTTGCATGATCTAAGAATTAAATAGAATAAACATGACAAACATTATTTAACTATAATGGTTTATGTTCATCCACAGTACAACATTTTATTGAACTCCATTCCTTGTTTGTGACCCCTTTTTCAGTTTAAGTTAAAAGACTAAAAAGGTAATTTTAAATGTAATCATATTCAAAGATATTGTAAAGTTTAAAACAGTATTTATCTTGTCTATATATTTACATATAACTGAAGCATATATTTTTACATGTACAATATAAGGAAAAAGTAAGATAATAGTGTTATAATATTTATCATTTCAGCCCTTGTGTCTGAAGCTTTAAGTGACATTTTGTTGCATGAACAGATATCCGAAGAATCTTCTATTGTTCGCTAGGTAATACATTTTTATCTTTAAACTCTTAATATAAGTTTGTTGGAAAATGTAAATCGCTCATTCTCAATAAAACACAGCATTTGATGTTCCACTGGGTAGCTCTAATACGAAGGTTTTTCTTGAGGTCAAAATGTCGTTAGAAAGGTGGCTGCCACTTTGTCTAATAGGGACACTCTCAGTTTTACCTTTCTATCTGTTATTTTTCTTTTACAAGTACCATTAATGCCCTAAAATGTAACATACGTTACTGTCGCCACCTAGAATTTTCAACTTTGAAATTGTGTTTCAGAAAAATAAGTTCCAGAATAAACGAAACATGTGCAATTAGTCATTGCTGTGTGTATATGCACTTTGATTATTGGTAAAAATTATATTTGACTGTTAAAATCTCATTGGTATAATGAATGATCAAATGTCGCCAAATGCATATAAATAAAAAGTGACAAACCTAAAACAATAAGAAGTGAAACCCAAATTACATAATTGAATTGATGCATGCTTAATAATACAGCATATATATAATTATAAGTAAAAATAAGCTTGCAGCCTCTCAAATATTATTCTATTTTCGGAAATTTTCATTTTTTATTCAAATCTTTTCAACAGCACTTTAAAAAGAAACATACGTTACCATTATTTAAGAGCCAATCCATTCAAAGAAGAATCCAAACAAGAAAGAATATTAACATATGTGTAACTCTGATATATTAACCACAAATTATGGCGGCTTAAACGGTCTTGCGTCATTTTTAACCACTTTTAAATGTAAAAATGAAACATACGTTACAGAAACATACGTTATCAACTTTTTAAAGTAAGTTTATTCAAAAGGGAAATTGAAGTCAGAAAGCACGTATACACATCAACATTAACTTCTATTTGACATTAGTAAGTAATTTTGTTAACTTTGGTCGTGTTTTTACTTGTTTAAGTAACCACAGTGAAACAAACGTTACTTTTATCAAACAGACTTTATATTGTTTACACATGCATATATAAAAACATAAAAATCGCATTTTTATGACAATAGAATGATGTGCATTTGATTCCTAAATAAAAAAGTCGATTTTTTACATGTAAGTTTAAATTCCGTGATAAAAAGTTCATAAATAAGCGAGTGTGAAACATACGTTACTCCAACTTACAATTCAACAATTTTTGAAAATTAAAGGTAAAGTTGGGATTAGCATGCCTGTTAGTAACGGTTACCTTGTATTAGATGTAAGAAGACACAAAATTGTTTTTACAAAGGGAAGATATGTTAATAATATGTTGATGTACCAGCAGAAATTTAAAAAATATATTACAAGATATTGATGTTCTCAGCAACAACTAATTCGTTTCTGCAAAGAGCTTACTGGCCGTATTCATTCTATATATAATAATGTTAAAATATATCCATAAATATAAATTATTTTACAAAAAAATAAAATTGTTTTCAACCTTTACTTGCATTTGACTAAAATGAAAACATACGTGACATCCTATATGGGATAAATATCGAACTGTTTAGTACTAAATTTTCCAAATATTAAGAAAGTGGAAAGTTGAATATTTTGAGAAAAAAATTGCTAATACAAAAATTGTGTATGCATTCGACCTCTCAATATTTATATATGATATATATATCCTTTGAATGAAGACATAAAATAATCATTTTCAAAATTGACTATTTTTGCTTTCTACGAATATTTTAACTTTGAAGAAACTGACTGAAAATTAGCAAGGTACCCAACTTCTTTGAATTTTCCTGGGTTAGAAAGTTCCTCTAGATAGAGAATTTACAGATTTTGATATATTTTACAGACATTTGTTATTAATATGCAGCCAATATGTCACATTATTAGATCTGAAATCTACGTTACCGAAGAAATACAGTGTCATTACCGAAATAAATGCCATCCTGTTATATCATAGTTTCTTGTTCAAAATATTTCTGGCAAACTTGCAAAATACCCTAAACATTTACTTCAGCGATAAAAAATGACACAATGACAACATCAAATTTTTAATATTTTTCAACCTCAAATGCTTTATTTTATTGAGAATGGGCGAAATATAAAAACAGGATATAGAAATGGGCACAGCCTGTCTCTTCAAGTGTTGTGTGACTTGACCAATAATAGATAGGAGACCATGTAAGTACACAGCAAAATAATAGAATGAAAACAGAATAAGCTGCCATTGACCCTCTGTTTAACAGTTAATATGTCTGTCCACCAGGATCAAATTCCAGACCATAACTTTGTCATTTATCAAGGGAATTTAACATTTTAAGGAATGTTATCATTGTTTAAGACACAATTTAACACTATTTCAGATCCTGAAAACAGAGTCACAGAGGTGGTGGTTGAAAATTTAAAGAATGCCACACAGCAAAACATAGGTTTGTTGCATAACTGCTTTAGATATCATTGTTTACATGATAGATATAAGGTGAAATATTATCAAACATTATATGTTATTTTGGTTTTGGAGTGATATATGTGGATATATTACCTGCTAAGATATTATAACGGCTCGGGAGGGTGATATTTTATCTTGGCAGGTAATATATCAACATATATCACTCCAAAACCAAAATAATTATTTCATTACCCTTCCCCTGCCGAGTTTAGACGATTTAAAAAAAATCATTGCTGTTTCAAGTGAAACGTCGAAATAAGATTCCCTTTAGGGTACCTCTTCATTACAACATGACGTCAAATAAATACATGACGTATTTTTCCCGTACCTAACGAATGTAAACAAGAGAAAAGGAGTAGTCTATTGAACGCACTTTTTTGTAATTAATATCAAGTTTTCACAAGGTCATATTTGTTTTCAATACTGATGGGAATATGTATCATTACTCTACTTTGGTAAATATTTATCATTTGACAGTTAAAAAGTGCTTGTAAATCGGAATTTACACCGCGTAAAATCGAACCGTACTCGCATCACCTCAGCGCATGTTGTTTATAATGTTGGGTACCCAACGGGGAAATTTAGTGTGTATATTACCCATCTGGCTCGGTTATATCAATTTCTTTCGGGTGATCAATATCCAATCACTAGAACTCCGCGAGTCGGATGTGTCGCCTTGTGAACAATGTAGTTTAGGAGAAATGGCCAGGACAAAAATGAAATATGAAAAATAACAAAGGGCAATAACTAAAAAAATAATAAGTGCAGAGCAGCAGTTTCTGTGCATTGCACTTATTATCAATAAGATCTATCATTGTATGATGTTTGAAGTCCATAGCTTTCATACTTGAGGAGAAATGACCAGGACAAAAATAAAGTGAGAAAATCAACAAAGGGCAATAACTCAAAAAATAAGAAATGCAGAGTATCAGTTCTTATGCACTGCACTTTTTCTTAATGAGATCTATCATCCTATGAAGTTTCAAGTCCATAACTTTTATACTTTCGGAGAAATGGCTTGGACAAAAATTAAGTATGAAAATTAACAAAGGGCCATAACTCAAAAATTAAGAAATGCAGAGTACCGATTCTTGTGCACTGCACTTCTTCTTAATGAGAGCTATCATCCTATGAAGTTTCAAGTCCATAGCTTTTATACTCAAGTTGAAATGGCCCGGACAAAATTAAAGTATGAAAATAAACAAAGGGCAATAACTCAAAAAATAAGAACTGCATAGTACCTGTTCTTGTGCACTGCACTTTTTCTTAATGAGACCTATCATCCTATGAAGGGCAATAACTCAAAAAATAAGAAGTGCAGAGTACCAGTTCTTGTGCACTGCACTTTTTCTTAATGAGATCTATCATCCTATGAAGTTTCAAGTCCATAGCTTTTTTAGTTGAAGAGAAATGGCCCGGACAAAATTAAAGTATGAAAATTAACAAAGGGCAATAACTCAAAAAATAAGAACTGCAGAGTACCGGTCCTTGTGCACTGCACTTCGGGTTATTGAAAGAAGCATGCATACCAAGTTTGAAGTCATCAGACTTATAGTGACTGAGTTATGCTCCGGACAAGCTTTAGGGGACGCCGAAGCCGACAACGACACAGACGCCGCCGACACCGCCGACAAAAGTAATCCTATATGTCACCTTTTCAAGGCGACACAAAAAAGGCGGAAAAAAATCTGGCAAGGGTAATAAACATGTATATAAATATCGGATGAAGTGAAATGTGCAGCACCCAATGGTTTTCATCAATTTTATTTTGGATCTATTTAATTATGATACTGTCACTTAAAGTATGCAAGTTGATATCAAGTGTGAAAATAACACTGGCAAGAAAACCTGCATCCTACAGTTTCATCTTGCTGTGACTTTTTTTCCATGGACAAAAAATCATAGTTATTAATAAAGTTAAACAACTACAAAAATTCAACAAAGTAAAACCAATATCTTAACTCAATGCCACATAAAATTTCACATACAAGCTTTTTAATCATAATTTCATTTAACGATGCAGTATTTTAAAGCATGTCTTTATCAGGAGCTGAATGTTGTGTTGTTACCTGTACTAATAAAGTGAAACAAAGTTATTGAAAATTATAACTATTTAAACCCTTAATAATTTTCATGGTACTTTACCTACTGCTGGCATTGAATCAATTGTACATTCCAATGAGACATTAGGTTATTTTATTTTAAAGTCAGCTATATTTCTAACAAACCCGAACATCTTCACGTTAAGATGATTGACTAATTTTCACCACTATTTATGAAAACGCAAGTTGGGCGAGTAAAAAGATGTTTAATTAACACTCAGAGTGCTTATTTCAAAGACTGATAAAAAAAAATTGTGCATGACTGGGTAATAGTGGAGCTATCCTACTTAGTTTTAGCATATTATGCGCGGGTAATTAGTTGCAACTTCATCAAAGATATTTATGTAACACCATGTACATTTTGATAGAGATTTTATAGCATTGGTTTTGCTGAAATAATGACCTTTCCTGAACTTTGGAGAATTGTTGTTTTAAGCTTAAGTTTTGCACATTACATCAATTTTCGAAAGTGTGAAAGATTTTGTTTAGATACTTAATACATGTAATCCGGATTAAAACTGAAGATCACATTCCTTAATTAAATCCTAGTGTTAGACCTCACACTTGATTAGACTTTAATTGAAATATGGCCTTTTTTAAATACAAGTTTGCAAGCAATTTGAAAAAAAAAATGTTGATATTCGCTTTAGAATCATATCATGAGTAGAGTGTTAATATGTTAAACATTGATAATCAAGAAACCATTAATTGACACCAACCTGGTAAACTTACATATATCATATCATTTAAGTTGATTTCCTGTTAAAACTGAAGACACGATGAGTGGTTGTTGTATAGTTTCTATTTAGTCTGTTATAATTATACATACTGTTCTTAATACTTTGTATTAATTCAAAATACACAAGATCGTTCATAAAATAAAAACCTTTATATATCTATCTATTAATTGATAGCTAGATTTGTGTATTTTCAATCGCTTGTTAATTGAGTTCCTTGAACAATAAAAGTGTTTAAATGTTTTAATTTTGTTATTTTTACTCCCATCGATAAGATGCTCACTGTTGTTTTAAATAATTTAAGAATTTTTATATATATAATCACGGATTTATATTACATATATGTATATTATGTAATATAAATCCGTGATTTAACGTAAGAGTTAAGAAAAATAAGGCATTGGTTTCAGTTAACTTTGGGACATAACCGACTGACTTAAATGCAGACAGGAGATGTAATTTTTGTACTAAACTACTTAATAAGAATGGAAATAATTTAAAGTTCTTGTATCACCACATATGATACTCCAACAACTTTGAGATAATCTTACAGCCAACAAGGTTGTGTTCGTGTGTACACTATTTTGATGCACGGAGGCTAATGAAACCACTATTGGATAAAAAAAATAATTTGGTGTGTTGTCAAAATAAATGATCATATCTTTCGAACGAGCTTGGAACTCTGTATGTAAAACAAGGTAGACAACCCGTTAGCATTATATTTAGTGTTGTAAGACCAAATTCACATTCGGAAGACCTCGGTTGACATTATGATATGATATTAATTACCTAATAACTATACAAGCCAAATCCAATGGTTTTTCTTTCCTTATTAATAATCAGAGCAGATATAAAATGTATTGGGTTATATCTTTATAAATAAAGCGTATTGCAAGCTATTGTCTGTGATAAATTACAGTTACATCTTTTGAATCGCATCTTCTCGGCAAAAATACGAGATGTTCCGATTGCAATATTTTAAGAAGTTTTAGTAGTGTGATACCATACAATTGGCGTTAGCCCGGAAATTTTTACTCATTTACTTATATTTTGTGAGAAGCAGAGAAATTGTTTAAATTTCATTATTTGTCAAACTGGGTCAAATGAAATTACAGGGCCGATAAATATCCCCGCCGGATACTAAAAATTTACTCATTATTTTTTTTTAATTTGAGTCCCTTTTATAAGTATACAATTATTTATATAAACTGCATGAAGACATACATATATGGCCATTATACTAGATCGATTTTATGACATCTACAAATATACAGCGAAATAATAAACAGTAAGTAAAACATCATAAAAATGATTCTGTGTAAGTTGCGACACATGTATATATACGTGCAGGGATGTCACGAATGTCGGATGTGTGCGCACGTGTATATACTTTATTTATGCAAAAGTAATCATTTGATAGATACTGCTCACATGTAGGGGTATTTATGAAGCATTGCATTAAATAATGCAAGACTGTCCGCAAGATTCTTCATATGTATATGGAATAAGTGACGGGTTATATAGAAGGCTATGTCATATATAGACTCCTAGCTATTATACGAACCTTAAAACGGCTGGTTGCGTTAAAGTGTCTAATCTCATCATACAGAATTATGAAATACAATTACACCTAAAAGTAACCTTCATATCAAAACACATCTTATTTTGGGTTAAAGATGTTCTTTATGTTGGAGAGTAAATTGATAATTTCACTGGAAAGCAAGTGATAAACTGGACTAACGTTGTCTCACCTTATAATATTTTAAACAATAAGCTACTGAATGAAAATGCTGAAAATTTGCATATATATAAAGTACATATTTCAGACTAACTTTAGTAATACTTGCAAATCAGAATAATTGGCGTGGTATCTCCAGAGACACTGTAGATTTACTGATACTTTATGTACATTCTATTCGAATTTGAAAACTTGAAACTAATAAATTGTATGGAATGACAAAAATACATACATAGGTACACACAAAGAGTTTCCATCTTAAATAGTGCAATTTGTCCTATATACTATATATGTGGGCTACTGTTACTTTTTCAATTTTTTAAGTACAAATATTTAGTTTTAACAAACAAAAATATGTATGGATTTGTGTAAAATGAACTAAAATACATTTGATGGATATAATAAAGATAAGGTCATTCGATAACGTTTGAGGGGTATTAAGATAATTAAAGTTTCAGGGTTTAAAGTGTAAGAAACATAGTGAGTGTATAATGACTTTAATATTCTATTAATCATACTATGACACACATTGATTTTATCATTGTACTGTATACAGAAAGCATTTGGATATATCTAATATCACACAATTGTTTAGTAAGAGATACCAGGTTATTTATTATGACATAATTTGGCCTAGATCTTTACAAATTGTGTAGGATAGGATGAAAAAAAGGTAGAAAGTTTTTATTACTTTATGTATTTTGGGTATCATTTTCAAGAAATAATTTGATAAGTTTAAATTTTCCAGTATCAGTTAAACATTTTTATTCTTATAGAAAACATTAATGTATTCCTTTAAAAAGTCAGATTCATTTCTCAAAACAATTAAGTTATGGGAAGATTTCTTCCATAGAAAAAATAAAGAATTGGTTGCAGTGATTTTCATGCTTATATAAACAGACTACCATTAAAGGCCTCTTCCCAATTGGAATTTTCTTTAAAATCATGCAGTTGTGCAACAGTTCTTCCTGCTTCAGCTGAGATATGAACTCAGATCTCTTTCCATAAAAGGAAAGTGTTCTTATCATTGAACTACTAAAGTTAATGGAAGTGTTGCACTGACCAGCCACCATCCATGCATTACATAAATTGATAATTTCATCATATTAAACTATCTTTTGAAAGAAAATAACTGGCAAAAGATTTAAGTTTTCAGTAAAAAAATATAACTCACTTATTTCCTTACTTTAATTTTTATATTTCCTAACAAAAAAATAAGCTAAAAAAATTTCCTCTGCATTTACAGGGCTTGGAACCTTCAGTCCTTCTAAAAATTGTTTCAATTTGAAGAAAGACTGGCTGCATTAAATTTTTTTAGCATTTTGTCTCTAAGCTTTTCTTTAAAGTAGCGAGTAGTATCTATATTTAAACATTTTTCATATAAAAAAGTTTTCATTTATTTCATCCGAAATCTTCTTTTCTTATTTTTCATGTCTGAACACATTAAATTTGCTCCAATTTTCACAACTGACATTGACATAATTTCTTCACAAGTTAAGCATTTATTTTACTTAACACAAGCTACAGTTTTTTACTATTTCTTCACAAGTCCAGTTTTCCTGTCTTAAATTTTCTGGACACATTAAATTTGCTCCAATTTTCACAACTGACATTGACATAATTTCTTCACAAGTTAAGCATTTTTTTTACTTAACACAAGCTACAGTTTTTACTATTTCTTCACAAGTCCAGTTTTCCTGTCTTAAATTTTCTGGACACATTAAATTTGCTCCAATTTTCACAACTGACATTGACATAATTTCTTCACAAGTTAAGCATTTTTTTTTACTTAACACAAGCTACAGTTTTGACTTTTTTTCTTTACAAATCCAGTTTTCCTGTCTTTAATTTTCAGGACACATTTGCTCCAATTTCCACAACTGACATTGACATAATTTCTTCACAAGTTAAGCATTTTCTTTACTTCACACAAACTACAGTTTTTATTATTTCTTCACAAGTCTTTTTTTCCTGTCTTTAATTTTCTGGACACATTAAAATTGCCCCAATTTCCACAACTGACATTGACATAATTTCTTCACAAGTTAAGCATTTTTTTTAACTTAACACAAGCTACAGTTTTTACTATTTCTTCACAAGTCGAGTTTTCCTGTCTTAAATTTTCTGGACACATTAAATTTGCTCCAATTTTCACAACTGACATTGACATAATTTCTTCACAAGCTAAGCATTTTTTTTACTTAACACAAGCTACAGTTTTGACTTTATTTCTTCACAAGCCCAGTTTTCCTGTCTTTAATTTTCTGGACACATTAAATTTGCTCCAATTTCCATAACTGACATTGACATAATTTCTTCACAAGTTAAGCATTTTTTTTACTTAACACAAGCTACAGTTTTTACTATTTCTTCACAAGTCTTATTTTCCTGTCTTTAATTTTCTGGACACATTAAATTTGCTCCAATTTTCACAACTGACATTGACATAATTTCTTCACAAGTTAAGCATTTTTTTTTACTTAACACAAACTACAGTTTTGACTTTATTTCTTCACAAGTCTTGTTTTCCTGTCTTTAATTTTCTGAACACATTAAATTTGCTAAAATTTCCACTACTGACTTTGACATAATTTCAGCAATTTTTTCTACAAGCTCTGTTTAGACTTTTACTTCCTTACAAGTTAGGTTTTCTTTTCATTAATTTTCTGAACAAATTAAATTGGCTAAAATTTTCACTTCACAAGTTCAGCATTTTATTACCTTATACAAGCTACAGCTAGGACATTACTTTCTCACATGTCTGTTCCTTTCCTTGTTTTAATTTCTTTATTCTTTGCTGTAAACAAAAATACCACTTGTAAGCAATAAAAGTCCAACAGAAGATTTGATCTGACATATTACTTTAAATGTTGGATGTAATGCAATGTTTCCATTAAGTCACTATCACTACATTCATCTTCACTTTCCTCACAATCAGAGAGCGTATCCAATATATCCTCTTCATAATCATAAACAGCCCCAAAATCCACAGTATGAATGACATCTCTCTCAGATTCAAGACTACTGAAATCATTCACTTCTGAGAGTCCAACCATAGCTGTAAAACTGTCAAGGGCAATTAGTGATGCATCTTCCAGATATGGTTGAAATGCGACTAGGAGAGAATTGAATGTTGTCTCAAGGTATAAACCTTCTTTAACCAATGCACATTTTTCTGCATTTGAATAATCAGAAATACAACCTAGCAGACTGAAACATTTTGATAAATACCACTGCAATGTAGAATGCATTTCTGATTTTATCAATTGCTGCTCTTCAGCAGCTCTTTTCTCCTGGCAGAACAGTCTAGTGGCCTGCTGCTTAACTGTAAGTGGAATAGGTGTTTCTGTAGTTCTATTGACTGGCTGTAAAGTATCCCATATTTCACTATCAGAAGATTTCACCTGTTCAAAATCTAGAATTGCTGGAAGTTTAGAAGGAGTTCCACCTATAGAATTGTAGACAGATATGTGTTCTCTAATTTTCTGGTTTGTTTTCTTAAGCTGCTGCCCAAGTCTTGAAGCAACTGCCTGACCCCCTGCAATGCAAAAGGATTTATTTTATGTCTAAGTTAATCATACCATGGCATTAATGACAATCTTGTATGTACTTTTTGATTATATTATATGAGGCATTACTTTTACCAGAAATAAACTTTTCTTGTTGAAGAAAACATGGACTTTACAGTTTAAATGTTCTGTTTAAGTGTGCAATTGTTGTGAAAAAGTTTGTATTAATGAAACAGGCAATAAACTTAGAAACTGTCCATAAACAACAGATAAGGGACACATAAACAAGACAACTGCCTACATAACAAGAGCTGTCACAGGAGACAGCGAAGCTCGACTAATCAAATACTGGACGCAGTAAGGAGGACAAAACTATGAAAGAAAAATCAATTATGTATAATTATGTATTAAGTTATAGTAAAAAAACATCTGTTAACATAAATTCCAAGATCAAGGGGAATAATTCTAGAAATAGTCACACTAGAGTTATGAACCTTGTCACACAACATGTGTGTAATGATAAGAAATATATATTTGAAGTTTGAAGTAGATAACTTAAAAAGTAAAGAAGTTATAATATTTCTTAAAGAAAATCCTAAGTTCAAAGTAAGATATATCTGTAAATATTGCTTCAAGAGTTATGAACATTGTCACATAAAATGTAATTGATGATAAGGAATAAGTATTTGAAGTTTGAGGTATATACCTTTAAATTTAAAAAGTTATAGTAAACAAGCAATTATCATAGTATTGCGAGCAATCCATAAGTCCCCTACCGGTAAGAGCCCAAGCAACATTCTGAAGGGCCATTGGCCATTCACTTAGGTTCCTATTTTAAGTAAATTTGTTGAAAAAGTTCTTGAAAAGTGATCACAGGAAACAGTTTTTATGTACAGACAGATAGACTGAAGGACACTCTAAAGTTATTTTTTAAACATCCCTGTTATCAAAATGTAACATTTTTTTAAATCCTATCATGATTGAAGAAGTTGGAGTAAAAATTACCAATTTCTCAAAAAAAAGTCTAAGTTCAAAAGGGGCATAATTCTGGAAATAGTCTTGCTAGAGTATTGAACACTCACAAATGTTGAGTGACAACAAGAAACATTTATATGAAGTTTGAAGTAGATACATTCAGAAAAAGAAGTTATTAAAAAAAAAACAATGTTTTTTTCATGAAAATTTTAAGTTCAAGGGAGGTAATTCTGATAAATTTTGTGCTAGAGTTGTAAACCTTGTCACATATGATGTGGTTGATGACAATCAACTTATATTTAAAGTTTGAAGAAAATACCTTAAGAAATAAAGAACTTATAGTGAAAAAACTTAAAAACTAGAATCAGAAATCTTGAAATTCAGTCTATTTGTTGCCATAGCAACCAGAATTTTCAACATAGGAAGATAAAAAAAGAATGTGCATAATTTCCATACTGCCATCTACCCATATGTCAAGTTTCATAAACATATTTTCAGTACTTTTTGTGTTATCACTGGATCCAGGTTATGTGTAAAATTTGCCATATTTTCAGTCTATTTGTTGCCATAGCAACCAGAATTTTCAACATAGGAAGAAAAGAAAAAGACGTGCATAATCTCCATACTGCCATCTATCCATATATCAAGTTTCATAAAAATATTTTCAGTACTTCTTGCGTTATCGCGGGATCCAGGTTATGTGTAAAATTTCCCATATTTTCAGTCTATTTGTTGCCATAGCAACCAGAATTTTCAACATAGGAAGAAAAGAAAAAGACGTGCATAATCTCCATACTGCCATCTATCCATATATCAAGTTTCATTAAAATATTTTCAGTACTTTCTGCGTTATCGCGGGATCCAGTTTTGTGGACGGACGGACAGACGGACGGACGGACTGACGGAGGGTAAACCTAAAGTCCCCTCCGGTAAACCGGTAGGGGACTAAAAATAATATTTTTTAAGGAAAATTCTAAGTTCAAGGGGAGATAAATCTGAAAATATTGGTGCTAGAGTTATGAACCTTGTCACATAAGATGGGGATGATGATAACGTACATATGCTTGAAGTATGAGGTTAATCCCTTAACAAATAAAGAAGTAACAGTAAAAAATAGTATTTTTTGAGGAAAATTCTAAGTTCAAGGGGAGATAAATCTGAAAATATTGGTGCTAGAGTTATGAACCTTATCACATAAGATGGGGATGATGATAAGGTACATATATTTGAAGTATGAGGTTAATCCCTTAACAAATAAAGAAGTAACAGTAAAAAATAGTATTTTTTTAGGAAAATTCTAAGTTCAAGGGGAGATAAATCTGAAAATATTGGTGCTAGAGTTATGAACCTTGTCACATAAGATGTGGTTGATGATAAGGAACATATATTTGAAGTTTGAAGTTGATACCTTAAGAAATGACAAAGTCATAGTGAAAAATATTTTACTGCACCAAAACTTTAATCTGAAATCTGGACGCGGACGCCGGGGCGATTAGGACAGCTCTCCATATACTTCGTATAGTCGAGCTAAAAATGTTAATGATTAAAAATAGACTCTTACTTTGCTTAAGTTGATTTAAGGACAAGTTCTTTTTTCAGCTTGTGAAACATTTGACACTGAACATGTACAACAAGTTTGAAGTGAATAGCTTTCGTGACAGTAGTTCCAACCTTTTCTACACATACGGAGCTAAATATATGAGCAATGTTTTCTGTAAATGAAATTTTGTTTTTTTAAGAATCCTAAAATCTTACTAGCATATTTCTTCATTAAATCAATTAGGAACAATCTTTCTGCAGTATTTTGCTGTATTGTCTCCAGCATCTGTTGGCGTACTTTGTCTCTTGCAATACACAGCTGTTTTTGATATTCTGGACTGTTTTTGTTCCATGTAACACAAGCAGCTTTACTCAGCTTCTTCACTCGAGCCTGCAGCCTTTTGCAAGAGTAATACATAGAAATTAAACTGGATGCAAATAAAGGCAAAATATTTTACATGTTTGAATGTAAATGCATGGGTGCAAGTTAAAAATTTTGAAAAACCTGAACTATTTGTTTGGGGGCCAGGGGGCCGCAAGGGCCCCCGGTGGGTCCAGGGCAACGACCGGCCAGGGGTCCAGGGGGCCGGAGGCCCCCGGAAGCTCCTGCATTATAGCACATTTGAAAGCCTAAAATGCAATTCCCTTGAATGATTACATGCCAGATAACATACATACTGTAGTATAGTATTTTCACTTAAATATTGCTCACATAATTATTTTCTTTTCTCTCTCTCTTTCTTAATTATATAAACAAAAACATTTCAACACAAAAAGAAATGTGCATTCATATATTGTTTCCACTATTTAATATTGTGGTTCCAACAGTAAAGAGTGATAAAACAAACCAATATATAAATAAATTGAAAATTGAGTTGATTTGTACCGAGTTTACGTTTTAATTAGGGCTGAGCTGACCCTGATTCCATACAAACAATAAATTGTTTTCAAAAAAAATAATTAAAACAAGCCTGGTTATGTTTCACAGTATGTTTGTTTTTCATATGGTTTGGATCGTCTGCGTGCATTTAATTATTTTTTTCCCGCTGGATCAATACTTGATCATTGATGGATTTTCTACATACAGTGCAGAAAGCTACGCCGGGAACGTCTGGCTTTTCCAGCCAGTTTCCGTAGTTATCCCCGTTTCGATCACATACAGACAACCATTCCCATCTCCATTTATTTTTTGAGGTCTTCTCGATATCTTTTGTATTAAATCCTTCGTGTAGAAACTTCATTTTGACTAACAAATTGTACATTACTTTCTGTTTACATATTACTCTGTAGCCGAATCGGTAACGAAGCCGCTTTTGCATTGGATGATTATAATTAGCGCGCCAATCTAAATCGTTGTAATAAAGTCACGGATAAAATTGCATGCCGGGATTAATAATACATGTTTTCGTAAACATCTCGTATATCTTCGGAAACTATCGGCAGTTTCCGCGAAAGTTTACTATTGACGCTATGAGAACAACCGTGAGCATCCGTATGTTATATAGCGTTCTCGATTATGAACTTCTAATCGGTGGTACTTCTCAGTTTGAAAGATTAGACCCGCACCATGCCCCTCCAAATATCTCAACGGATTTACGCGATTCGCAAAAATGATCCCTCCGGCACGTGAAAAACCGGAACTTCCGGCACATGCCGGAAAACTTGCACCCATGTAAATGTAATTTAAATGTGTTGTAGATCAATTATCAAAACTAGAATACAACAGTTGAATAGCAAGCATGTTCATTCTTTGCATTCTTCTAACATTTACATACATACCAATAAATTCTATCTCAATTTGTTTGTTCGTTTCATTTTACGCCTTTTCCCAACAGTATTTCAGCCATATAAGCAGGTAGTTTCCTAACCATCTTTCCTGGAGAGTTACACCAGTACTAGACTACCTTCCTCCGCTCTAAACTACTAAAGCATCTCCCGGGGATCGAACCCAAGCCACGCTAACTGGATCAGAAGTCATTGCAGTCTTCACGAGAAACTTTAACTAGAACTCCGCGAGTCGGATGTGTCGCCTTGTGAACAATGTAGTTTAGGGGAAATGGCCAGGACAAAAATGAAATATGAAAAATAACAAAGGGCAATAACTAAAAAAATAATAAGTGCAGAGCAGCAGTTTCTGTACACTGCACTTCTTATCAATAAGATCTATCATTCTATGATGTTTCAAGTCCATAGCTTTCATACTTGAGGATAATGACCAGGACAAAAATAAAGTAAGAAAAGCAACAAAGGGCAATAACTCAAAAATAAGAAATGCTGAGTATCAGTTCTTATGCACTGCACTTCTTTTTAATGAAATCTATCATCCTATGAAGTTTCAAGTCCATAATTTTTATACTTTCAGAGAAATGGCCTGGACAAAAATTAAGTATGAAAATAAACAAAGGGCAATAACTCAACTAGAAATGTGTCATCATGCCACGGATGCCCCCGCATGCAGCCAAAATTTCAGATGTTATAATATTTAGTTCCAAAGAGCTAGGTTCACTAACCATGGATTTTTGCCCAAGATTTTGGCAAAAAATAATTTGATGCAAAGTTCTTGTTTTTAGGTTTTATTTATAAGTTCAATCCTTAAACTGTTAAAAACATATGAATTTATAGACATATGTTTACATTTAGTATGATTTATGTTCTATGGAAATACCCCTATTTCCAGCAAAATTAGGAAAATTCACGTATTTTTGGTGTTTTAAACGAAAATTAAAGTATCAGCACAGTCGAGCCCCAACAAAATCATTACACCATTGTGTTGTAATGTATCAAAGGCTTCAACTTTATCAATATAAAGTTGGGGCTTGCCTGTGCTCTATTCCAAAATTAGATTTTTATCTAATATCTAAACGTCATTTTCTGACATTTATTTCATTAAATGCAAACCATGGAGCATGTATATTGCACTCAACATTATTAATATTTGTTCTAAGTTGTTGAAATATGATTCATAACATATATTTTAATAAATGTTTGCAGGAAAATCATTTCTAGTAAATTAAAGGCACTTTCACTAAAATGAGTACGATGAAGTTTTGGTACGAGTTCGACGGTTTCCACTGTAACGGTTGTAAACAAAACTCTGACAGGTTAAAATAATTAAATGTAAACGTTTATAAAGAAATGCTGAAATTATGTTTATGCCATAAATATTTCATTCATAGAATTAGCAAGGTGTTGTTATGTAATTTTATTGATTCATTGAAAGAAGTTATGCTGTTCAGGCTATTTTATTGCTGAATAGCCTACTTTGCTTTTGCCCTCAAAAACAACAACAACAACAACAAAAACAACTGCACAGTGATTAATAGGTTTTCATGTCTTTTTAAAAGGCAGATTAAAAGAATTCAATTTACTTTGTGAAAATAAAATGATTGCAAGCCTCAAAACAATTTAAAAATACTGTATGTAGAGTATTTAAACTCTATAACTCCACATCGTCTGCATAGATGTATATGTAAAACTACTTGTAAATGATGTCATAACATGGCGGAATGTTGCATTAGCTCAGTGGTAGCATGGGAGCCTCTCACCCAGGAGTAATGAGTTCAAACCTTGATCAAGAACTTTTTTTTTCTTTTTTTTTTCATTAACGTTTTCATAAATAGTAAAATAGATAGTACTTTTTCAGTAAATAATATGTTATTTCCTTAATGTATTAAATTTTATTCCTTCATTTTTTTTAAATTATGAGTCAATGCTATTTCATAGTTATTAAGGTATTAAAGATTTGTTAGACATTTAATTGCTTAAAAGTTCAGCAAGAAGGTTTAAATCTTATTAATTTAGTATTATTCTCATTAAAAAATATTCACAAGAAATTGCCAAAGCAGGAAATATGTTAGGAGTCAACGGACGAAATGTCTTCAGTAGACTTTCCCAGGATGAGAAAAAAGCATGGTATAAAGCTCTAGCTGTTTCCCAGAATAACTACACAGAAAGTCTTGACTTGTCCTTTTTCACAAAGGATCCTTTTATTTTTTGCACGAAATTGCAGACCATACATGTAAGCAGCCATAACTACATAGATTGGATTATCTACATGAATGACAGCATTGATGCGTATTACTGCCTTTTTGTGGCTGGTGCATGTACATAGTTTAAATGTGTTCTGATGTCTCCACCGTTTCATGGTACCTCGCATATGGACACCATGAGGAGTGGTGAGACTCAGTCAGGAGTGAGAAATTGGGCTGATAATCTTGCTGACCATGTAGCGGTATTTTGAAATTGATAGCCATTCAATACAGTGTGAAAGAGAATTGTTAAAAGTAACAGTAATAGAGACAATGCTAAACTAAACTTTTAATTGTAGGCTTCCTTATGTTAAATGTTTAATTTACAATCATTATGTAGATGTAAAGGCATATTGAAATGATATAAACCAAATCTTACTTAGGGTTGTTTTATGTCACATAAATCATGGATACATGTAATTAAATGTTTTTATGCCCCCGAAGGGTGGCATATTAAAATCTAACCGTCCGTCTGCCTGTCAGTCTGTCATTCCGTCAGTCATTCAGGCTTAAATTTATACATATAGACAGTGGTGGTCGTGTCCGCCTTGAAATTTCAGTATGCATGAAAGGATTTTAATTTTTCTTTCATATATAAAATAACCATAGATGTATGGTCTGTCGCGAACAAGACTGGTTTCTATGACTTAGGTCAAGTCACTGTGGGGGTTCAAACTTTGTCAATTTTGATATTAATACACATATAGGCAGAGATGGTCGTGTCTGCTCTGAAACTAATATGAATGAAAGGATTATATTTTTTATTTCACATATGAAATTATCATAAATGTATGATGTGTTGCCCTTAAGACCCGTGTTCCTACGCCTTAGTTTAAGGTCACTGCTGGGGCTTAAACTTTTTCAATATTTATGTTATATATTTACATATAAATGGTGGTTGTTGTGTCCGCTCTGTAACTTCCATATACATGAAAGTTTCAATTTTTATTTAAAAATATAAAGTCACCATAGATGGATAGTGTGTTGTGAACAAGACCTAGGTTTATTTGTATAACATATAGTTCACTGCTGGGGTTCGAACTTTGTCAATTTTTACCACCACACTTAACATGTAATAAGTGGTTTATAACTAGAATCCTTCGGGGGCATTTGTCACGTGTTGTGACAGTTCTTGTTTTTTCTCAGTTCTCATATCGTCATGGATCATTACATTACATTTGTAATAAAAGTCTGATTTCCATAATTATAAATAACACAAATCGTTTTCTGGATTTGGCTGTATCATAATTCATAAAAGAAAATAGTATCAAATTTGCAGTTCAGTATCAAATATTGCGTATACTCCGAAAGAGCATACAGTCAAACATTATTTTTACTTGACAAAAAAAAAATCTAACATACTTTTATAT